GAGCGCGCCTTGTGCCGGCCTGGCTGGTCCCTGGAGCTCACAACACCGGCAGCCAAGTCCCTTCAGCAAATAAAGGTAACGAACAGCGGGGGCATCGCTCCGAGCTGCTCGCACATCACAGCCTGAAGCTCCAGGTAGGAATCCACGCACCCAGAAAACAACCCTGGACCTGCGCTGAAAAACGTCCAGGTGAGTCTGCCTAGGTGGATCAGGCCTTGTGGTCTGTACAGAACAGAAATAAAACCAGCTCTGCCCGCAGGAGTCAAACTATTCATTAGTGTAGCAATGGACAACAAAAAAAGGTTTCCATGGTAGCAGCAAAAAAAGGAGAAAGATTTGCACCGGTAAGCCTGGAGGTTTGCTGTTGTTTTTGTTGATTTTTGGGACCTTTACGCAAGCAAGAAAGAGTCAGACTGACTCTTACTGCGTATTACTGACAATTACTGCGTGTTTCTGCTGCCTCGCCCACTAGCAAACTCACCATCCAGTGGTGACAGATCTGCACTTACTGGAGGTGGCACGATGGGACGGATAATCAGATAGCACTCATCAACGGGAACAGAGAGAGCTTTTCCTGAGCAGTTATTATACACCTCCGTAAGGTAACAAACAGCAGTGCTCCAAGGCTGGGCTCGCAAAACCACAAAGGACCATTTTTTAAATTCAAAACAACCTGCCTCTCCTCTAGTGGCTCAAAAGAGCCTCCTTCCTCCAGCTTTCCTTCACATCTCAGAAGTCTGTCCCGCTGACATTTTTAACTTGTGATGCATGTGACTGATTTTGGATAGTCTGTGGGATGGAGGTAAATGCTGAACTCATCAAGGCAATGCAGGTCAGGAATTATTCTACTAAGAACATCAGAGTCAGATTTAAGGATCAGCTCCAGTTTGCAAACTGTGTTGCTTTAAAGTGGCTAGATAGCACCATGAAGCCATCACGTGTGAAATACTCTGCTTTTCAATGAAATAAACCATTTCTGTTTGGGTGCTTCCTAAGTGAAGAAAGGGCCCTGTCAGGGTAATGAAGTGTTTAATTAAAAGTACACTCAAACATGCAAATAGCCTTGGATGCTCTGACTTGTAAGAGAAATATTTTAAAAGCCTTGTCAAAGCTTTAGCAAAACAGTTCTTGGGAGCCCTTATTAACAAAGCAATGAAAAATAAAGCGGAAAACGCTAATGAGTAAAAGTCCTAGACTTACCTCGGGGTAAGACCATTCTGGTGAATAATCTGTCACCATGAACAAGCGCCCACTCTGCTGTAGCAACCCCAAAGTGCCTTGTGCTGCAGCTGCTGAGACCACCTCAGCCACATGCATGTATGCCATCGTGCTGGCTCCATTCTCTGTGCTGCTGAGCTGCATGTTGGCTTGCTGAGGACTGCAGCAAGGAATGCACATTTCAGACTGGTTGTAGGTTGCTCTGTTACTGTCTTCAGGCTGAGACAGTCCGGCACTGTCACCTGACACCAGCTGGTGTCCATAGAGAGCATTGCTCCCACCTTCTACAGATATGAAATCATTAATTAGATCAGAAAACTGGTTGCTGAAGGAGATGTCAAAGTGGTCCAAGTTAAGCTCCATGTTGGAGGAGTTATTTAAGCTGGGATGGGCCACGGGATAGAGTCCTTGTACCATGTTTCCTTGGAGAATAGGGAGATTGTTCCCATTCCTGATACCCCCGTTGGCCTCAGGCTGCAAGTAGTGTTCTGTGCTGCAGGCTTGAAGATCCCCTGATTTAAGCAGATTTTCATTCGCTTCTGCCTGCTGGGAGGTCTCCATGGGAACTTCAGCTTCTGCAGTCATAGCCTGGAAGTTTGCTTGGAACTGCATCAGCTGGAGAGAAGAGGTGGACTCTATTCTGGTTTCCACTGTGCCATTACAGTTGGAAGTGGTTTGGGACGAGGACTCTGTTTTCACACTGGGGATTCCTAAAGTGTTCACAAAGGAGCCACTTGTGTCATTCAAATTGTTGTGAGTGTTTTGCTCAAGGGGAAGAGGTTTGCTGGCATCCTGCAGAAAGAAGCTGGGTGAAGGGGTCTGATGAACATGAGGGCTCTGGACAGTCTGATTGAAGCTGGAAGAATAGTCCTTGTTGGAGTCAATGGCACTGAAGTCCATCTGCTCCAGGGTGGTACTTGGGCTCAGGCCTCCTCCAGATGGAAGCAAACCTGAACCAGTAGTGAGGGTGAGAGTGTTAGATGCAGAAGTGGAGGAAAATGTTTCTTTGGACATCTGTTGTTCAAAAGATGTGTCCTCAGTTTTAATTTCTTTTGTGAGGGTTGTATTGAAGTTGAAGCTACGTTCTGTTGTGGGTGACTGCCTTATGTTGGTACTGATGCTGTCACTTTTCATACCTCCTCCACCATAAGTCTGCCCTTGCTTGGGATTGTTAAGAAAACAGTCTGGGTCAAAATTCATGGTGGTTTCTGGAATTTTTCTATTTCCATCTAAAGTTGTGGAGAGCACAAGTTCCTCGGAGACAGTGCTGGGGAGCATCGACAAGCTCTCTGAACTGCCGGTTGTTGGAAAAGCAAATTTGTGTCCATCTGAGCTGACAGCAAGTACCAGTCCTTGTGTAGCTGCGTCTGAGGACAGAAGGTGCTGATTTGGGCCAGAGGTGGGTGACATGGTATACACAGCTTCACTGGTGACTTCTGACATAAATACAGTGGCACTTTGTGACAAGCTTCCCATAACTGATGCTACAGCCATGCTGGACACACCAGTGACGGCCGGGCTATCCGCCATATCCGGGTCACTATTTAATCCACTGCTGATGGACACAGGAGAATTCTGGGTTGTGTCAGGAACCTCCACCTGGTTGGTGGAAGAAACCTCAGTGCTGTTTTGATGGAGCAACACAGGTTTTGCCACTTTGCCATTCCTCTTCTCTCGGCTGGAGGCCTTGCCATGACTGTGCTCGTTCTTGCCTTCAGAGACATCGTTATTCTGTACCTCTGAATGAGCACTGTACCCACCTGTCCTTGGTTCGACCTTTGGTGATATGATGCGATGTTTGGCACTGTTACACTTGTGATGCACACTGCTTCCTGCCCCTGCACCAGAAAAATAACATTTGCCATTCAGTAAATATAAAATTAAGATGATGCTAGTTGCGTATCTTATGGCTGCAGCAAAGGAGAGTCATGCTCGTGCACGCGGCAGTGAGAGCACACGTACAAGACAGACCTTGTAAATAAGAATAATTTCTAACCAGTGCCAGATTTACAGCTCTCGTTCTGTCTAATGCATAGATCTGCTGTATGCAATGATGGCAACCTCAAAACAGACACCTGTGCACCTTTCCCCACATAGCACCTACGCTTCTTCCCTGCCCAATTAGACAACACGTTAGGAGGAGAGGAATCGACATCTGTAACAAATTTCAGAAATATTTAAACGTGCCCGACTGCAGCGCAAAGTCTGGAAAGCCACGGCTGCTGCCGTCAGCTGTGGCAGAAGGTTTCTGCCTCGCAGGCCCTGCTTCATCTGCACCACAGACAAGACCTCAGCCCCCTGCAACACAGATATGCAGCTCTTCATGCTGGCTGCTGTCGGGTGGGTTGGATGCTGACTGGTAATCTGGAGGTGACAGATGCCATGTTGTGCTCCTGTCCCTGGCATCACCCTGCCGCCTAGATTGCAACCTATATCTTCTTGTCATCATTGTGTCTACTGCACCTGCCAATCAAATTATTAAAGAAGTACTATGTTAACCAGCACCAGGAAAACCTTCCCTCCCATAAGGATGGCAACGCATTTCTCTTAGTCGAAGCCGTTCATATGCTGACAGACAAACATTTTGTACTTTGAGAGGTTGTATGCAGAGCACACGATTAGTATCAGAGCAGCTGAAGAACGCTCAAGCAAAGGTCACCCTCCACGAAGTTCAGCCAGCTGGCACCTTTACTGGCCTGACAGAAGAGGAACATCACCTGAGTTCCTGGGAGCTTAGAAATCAGGTAGGATGAAGTAAACAATTCTGTCTGCAAAAGCATCTTAGCCACCAACTCTGGTGCAGGGGCTGCTTTTGTTGTTTAAAGAAGAACAGCCCATGAATTTTCGATGTTTCGTTCCTTAATTGATTCGTTTTCCCTAGAATGAGGCAAGAACATTAATTATGGTACTGTATAATGACTAAAGGGGAAAAGAAACCCCCTCCTTATAGCTAATAGCTACAATTATAAATGCCATCTTCTGGGTAACATAAAGCATCTGTGTAGCTGCTGCAATTGGCAAAATCTTTTGTTCCTTGTCCTTGAAGGGGAACTTCTTTATTATGTGCTCAAGTTTTCAATCAGGTCACTTAAAGTAGTTCAGGATGGTGCTTTTGAGACTAAATGCAATATTAAATCTCTGTTCTAGGTATAGAGACGAAGAGGAACAAGGGAGAGGCTTTCATGCTGCCATCTTTGTGGATGACGGTAAGGAACTGGGAATGTACGTGTCAATGTGCAAGCTGTTACAAAACAAAGTTATACTGTTATGTTAAAAAGCAGGCAGCAGACTTAGCACAAGACAAAACATCAAAGGGAAGAATAAAAGGATTCATGTTCAGATCTGCAAGCCTGGATCAAATGCTGAGCCTTAAGGGTTGAATTTTAATCCAAACTCAGGTATTTCAGAGGTCATCATTCTTACTTAAATCTTAATTGTATAATGCAAGTGCCCAAAAAAAGGAAGAAAAAAATAAACCCTTTGAAGCACTGATGACTTTCCTTTATAAATTTTGCTGAAGACTAATTAATGTGCCATATATTTTACTCGACTAAAGTACTAGGAAGGGGTGGCTATAAAGCAGATGAGTTGGAAAAGTGAATCACTCAGCTTCCCACTCTCTATATAAAATGCTAAGACTAATGACACTGTTTCTTGCTGTTGTAGTCTCACTCAAAACAAAGCAATCTTCTTTAGCAGGAAGGAAATCTCCTGTATTCTCACAATACCTAAATAAAACCTGTCTTATTCCAGCAGTACCTTGTAAGTAACCACCTGAGCCCATATTATTCAGCAAAGTGGACTGCAGGGCAAGGAGTTCAGAGGGTGAAGTTGGAAGAATATCAAATTTTGAGGCTTTGGTTACAAAATTTCAGCAGGTAGAAGAGAATGTGCCTTTTTCAGCAGGTCACATAGAGAACATTTATTAGAACATGCAAGTTATAGAGCGTTGACATTTTTTTCCGGAATTTCCAGCTGCATCAAGACTTCTTCTGTCACCTCTGAGTTCACTGTGTTCTACATTTCACAGCACAGGATTTTTATTGCTTTGGTACTACAAACCCTACTCCAAGCCTGGATAAAGCTGTGATCATTCTGTGCGTTCAGAAGGTACTCACCCAAGGTACCAGTGCAGAGACAGTTGTGTGTCCGAGGCTGCGGTTTGGTCTGGTGACTATCAAGGATCTGCTGCACGAGCTGTTCCACCGAGAACCCTGAACTGCTGTTTCCGTTGCTGCATGTCCACTTAATGCCATGAACTGTGAAGAGAACAGTAAAACTTCCCATCAGAAACTTCAAAAACACACCAGAAACCATCAAAAGCCACTTCTAAAGAACAGCAGAAACCGATTCCTGCTACGTTTTGTCAGAACTGAAGGAGACCTATAGAAAGCAACAGTAATGTTTACTGTCTTACCATCCTCTGCTCCCTGATATCCATAGGCTTCCAAATGCAATTCCTGGATTAGGTACATACAGAGGAAAAAACCTCAGCAGACCATGTTCCTCTGTTCAGTTTGCTGTTAACAAACAGCAAACTCTCTCTCTAACTAAGCCGAAAAATGTTAAGGCCTATCTGAATAATGCATGTAACCTTCATTAAAAACCTAAAAGCAACAAAATACTTGTGTTTCACTGAAGTAAAACAGTACAATTCCAAGGAGCATTTGGAATCTTTTTTCTAACACGTGAAAACAAAATTAGTTAATTTTCTAATAAAATCAGCAACAAAAAATACACCAGTATGATAGCAAATACAAACCTTCTACCAGGTCTTCATTGTCAGATCCTGGTTAGCAGCAGTGAAGACTGACTCATTGTTTGGGAGTCACTAACAAACACTGTGTGAGTTCCTCCTCAGACAACTTTTTAGTAATGTGGGAAAACGGACAGGAGGGTGATGGTGCAGAACATGTTGCAAAGTGAAGGTCTCTTTTCTTGGAGACTCCCTTGTCCTGTTAGCTATTTAAATAAGAATGCAAAACTGCGTGCATGTAAATTATTTGAATAAAGGCTCCCTCTTGGAATTTTTTTCATGTAACACTGATATTTTCAACCTGACTTAGAATGGAAATAATATTTATAAAATATTTTCTCCATAATAACTGACTCAAGGCATCTTCTGTTTCCTTCAGTGTCTCTCTAGGCAATTTATATGTGCATATTATTTATTTATCCATTGTAAGCACTAGAGCCCACTTGCAGATTTGAAAGTGCTGGTTGATGGCAACACCATTTCCAAGATGACAGCTCAGGCCTGAAGAGCTGCTTCTTTTCAGGAGTGTCTTTGTCATACTCTAATAAAGCGGGTTCCTTGCACATTGTATTCTAAAACCCTTAACCAGAATATACTAAATCTTAGTTAAAAGTCCCATGGACTTAAACTTTGTACGATTAAGCTCTAAATACACAGATCTCTTTGTGGTGAAGGTCCTTGGTGTAAGGTTGTGAAACATGGGCAACAGCACATCGGGCTGTTAATTGCTATACAGCCAGAAGTATCTGCAGACTCCGGAGCAACAAGCTGTAAGCTGCTTCATGCAAGAAGATCAAAAGCAAATGAGGGCATGTTTATGGCAGTTAATGACCGTTATCAATTAGGCAGGATATCGTGTGAATCTCCTATTCTCCTCTTTGCTGCTGCTTATTTAGTACATCATAAGCAGCGGGTAGAACAGAGTTCCTGGATCTGCTCTGTAAAGCAGTTTTATTGCTTTTTTTATCACCTGTTGCTGTGTTGCCTCATCACCCACTGATGTTACTTTGCCTGATAGCATCTCATCCTGGTCTAGTTTCATATTACAGAATTCATATTTTTATTGGCCGGGCAACTTACAGAAATATTGTAAATAAGGTTTACAAGTATTCTTCCTCATATCACTATTTAAAGTGCTGCAGTTAGTTTAGTAATGAGTCCCTCTATACTTGCTTGACAACCACATTTATTGTTACTGTACCCAACAGATTTTGCTCTCTAGTACGTTCACAATTTTGAATTTCCTCTTAACGCTCAGTATCTGTTATGATGTCCAAGTTTAAGTTTATATATGCTAACCGCTTCAGTACCTCCACTCACATTCATGTTATTATTCTAGGGACATTGTTCTGCCACGTGATGTTTTGCCTAATAAGTGATGTTCAAATAGCTGTTTTGCAAAAAATACATTTACAGTGAGATTAAAGTGCAGTAACATATTTGGAATACATTTGGCCATACAATACAGTTTTTAAACTGTAATTATTCCTGAGAAACTTTGCATTTATTTATTAATGGTTACTTCAGAAATGGTTTGCTAAAAAAGTGAGCTCAGATATGTATTGCTAGGTACAGAAAGTCTATTTTACCACAGTATGGTAGAGTTTGCTCCCTCCTGCTGCTAAATCCCGTGATGAGCAGCATATTATAGGGGGCAAGTCTGGTAAGTGAATCATGTCTCATGGTTTGTTTATTCATGATGATGGTTCGTAAGTCTGAATCAAGCTGTGAGCTGGAAGCTAAGAAACAAAGGTCAGCTTTATAGCTGGATACATCTAGTACCAAGCCTATTATTTTCAGATCCTTCCAGTATAACAACATCCCATCGTGGATCTATTGCTGCTGAGGAAAGGTCCTTCTCTAGCCTTGCTGCAGCTGCTCCTAAAGGGCTTCAGCTCTAGTTTCTTGTCCATGTGGTGTGACTTTCTTGAGTGCTTATGCTCTGTGTATGTTATAAAGGTTATAAAACAAAAAGCCAATGAAGAGTGACAGATTGGGGGGGGG